GCGCTCCGGCCAAACCCGGGGGTCGCCGGTCGCCTGTAATGCAGCCGCTGGGGGCCGGGGTCGCCGGGAGGCCCTGTTGTGCTGTGCACGGAGGGGCGTATTTCTTGCCCTGTGCGTAGGGGGGGGTCTTGTTTACCATCTGTGGGAGATGTTCTCTGCTTCCTTGTGGGTCCCGTGATGTCCGGCTGCCCCCGGTTTGCCAGCGAGTTGAAGGAACGTGTCCCGAATCATGCAGGAAATCTGTGGGATAGCTGGGAGTCCAGCTTAGCTCGCAGTGCTAACTGTGAGATTGGTTTCTGTTTCGTGTTCTTGAAGCTCAGATTTCTTTGTGGAAGACAGCGCTTACCCTTTTGAGAAGAGATTGCAGGTTATCCTGTGGTTCAAGACCTAATCGTGTCCTACTTTTTTTTTACTTTTTTTTTTTTCTCCTTTAAGTGACTGTTTCTGTGTGTTGTGCTAGCCATTGCCTATTGACACCAACTTTGTTACCGCTCTGAAAACGTGGAGGGCAGAAAGAGGAAGATTTTTTTCTGTCACAGAGGTCGGCCCCTGTTCTGTGCATAATGACATGGCCCCAGAAAATCACTGAGGAGCAGCAGAGAGAATCATGTTATAATGTCTTTGTTAGTTATCCTTGCTTCGTTTTTACACTACAGCCTTCTGCCTGCTCTGGCCCATGTTCATCCCTCGCTGCGCTGCTGGAGCAGGCAGCGTGAACCGCGCTCGCCGTTGAAGCAGCGTGCTCTTGGTGGGTCCCATGATGACAGTCGCGCAGGGTGCCCTCGAAGGAGTTGCAGTGACAGTCTCATGCCCTGGCATCAGAAGATACTGAAATGGTTGCAGATGTCAAAATCTGAGCTGGAGATGTATAAACAATAATCTTGTGAAGAGTTTTTCTTGACTACCTAACTGCCGGTTTATTTTGCGTTCTGTTTTTAATATGCTGTAGTGCTTTCTCCTAAAACTGAGCCTGCGGGGCCAAATGCATCCTCTGGCTGTAGTTTTAAGATTCCAACTATAGCCAAAGCCTGGGTTTTCTTCTAAGGTTCATGAGGACTTTGCCTGCTTTTGCTGGGTTTCTCCTGTTTGGGATTGATGTCTGCACAGGCAGGTTTGAAACATGCATTCATTTATGTAGGGAGTTGGCTAGTAGCTCCAGGAGTGGCCTCTGGACTTGGCTCACATGATGGTGCTGTGAAAATGAACGTCTAGGCTTTGCCTTTCCTAAGTGTGTCACTGCAGATGTTGCTTTACCTTTGCTATTTGACTGGGCCATGATTTGCAGGAGGAGGTGGTTTCTTATCCTCTTATTCCATGACTGACCAGAAATGAAATCCATTTGTTAACCAGGCTTTGTGTTTTTAGAGATCAAAATGAAATGAGAAGGAAAAAATCTTATTTGCCTGAGTGAGATATTTTAAACGCTTTTGTGTTTCTTGAGAACAGAAAGGATTTGAATGGCTATGTTTCTGTAATAGTCCTTCTATCTGGGTCGTTTAATGGCTTACACGTACGATTGCTGTTCCTGTAGGGGTTTATTGCTTCAAGTATGGAGGAAGCAAATACTCTGCTTTATGCATATTAAAGCTGCCATAGTACCTGACCAAACAGGGCTGTGCTCACGCCTTACTCATTCTTTAAACAAAAGATTAGACACAATCTAGAAACAGGTAACTGATGTCAGATTTACTTTTTAATGACCCTTGTAAAATGGGTTAGAGTAGGAGCTGAAAGCGTATGTGTACAAGGCATTTATCCCAAACGAAGGAATGCCAAACAACTCCGGCTTCTAGCATTCCTTCTCTTGCCGCAGACAAGATAACTTCAGTCGTCTGCTTTTCCAGCAGGGTTTTTATTCAGCCCCCGTGAGGCTCCTCTGGGGGAAGAGGAGTGACTTTTACCTGACTGGTGTAATACGAGCCTTTCTGAATGTGATTGTATTTAATGTTGTGAGCAAGGTGTGCCTGCAGAAAAGGTGAGGTAGAGGGTTAAGAGTCTCAAACGGCTTGCTCGTGGGCACCAGAATCGATTCTGTAGGAAGACAACTGTGTTTTGTCCAACTTTGGCTTGTTGTCAAGTGACAATGGGAAAGAATAAGCAGTGCTGAGCAAAAAGTTACACTGGAGTAAGGAAAAGTGTGTTCACTTGGTGTAGTCTGAGATGCCAGCCCGCACGCTCCCCCAGCTCTCCTCCCACGTGCTTCCCTGCTAGAGATGTTAAAGAAAAAATGCAAGCAGCACCACAGATGCCACTGTGGTTGTCCAACAGCTCTTTGCATTCACAGCTGTTCTTCTGTGTCTTTTTTATATTTTCCTTTCTGGAGTCTGAGATTCTTGTAAGGCTTTGTGTTTACGGTTGTCCTTTTTTAAAAAATTGCCCCATGTCACTGATGTGAAGAATCACCAGCTTCTGCTGCCTAAAGTCTAGAAGCTCTATCTCTTTGGTTTTAGAAGTTGCCTCTTGGGATGTAGAATAGCATTCCCCTAATCTGATAAGTCTGATGAAATGGGCCAGTTCCCTGTCGATGTTTGAATCCACATGTTGGCTTTGTGCTCAAAAGACTGAGGTGAACGGCTGGTCTGCCCAGCAGGCGCTTCTGATATCCGGTTCCAAATATTCTTGTTCTTGCTGAAAGACTGCAAGTGTGTTTGCCTTTTCAGCTTTGCCATGCCAATAGATATCTCTTGGGCCTGAGGACCTGGGCTCTTTCCTTGTCACAGACCCTAGTATAGCTTCATTGCAAATCCTGATGTAATGAGGGATGTTTGCCTTTTAAGTAGACTTTGTTCAGTGGTCAATAGGCTTTTGGTCTCATTAAAAACATCTTTGGCTTTTTTTTTCCCCCCTGTGGTCTATTCCAGCTGGCTAACAATAGATGCCTTCATTTACTCTGTAACCTGCTATAAATGGCAGGTACCTCCACAGTCTTTGAGAATTTGGATGTGAGTGTCAGACAGGCCTGGAATTTTCCATCTTCTTTAGAAATATCGGTAATAAAGTTTTAAGCTTTCTTTCAATCGTATCTTGGTGAACGGCAGCGCCCTGAGGCCTGGTGCGGACACCCAAGCTTGTGGCTGACTGCACTTCAGTGGTGCTACAGGACAGCCTTATTTGTGGGATTACTGTGTTATTTGAACAACCGTGTTAAACTTCAGGTGCTTCTTGTTTGAGCTCTTATGCCTTGATCTTCAGTCCTGAAACTGTTTTGTTACCTGTGGGAACAGAAAGGAGTTGAAGAATATCCTTTCTTGCACAAGCCTGTTGCATCAAAGCCTTTCAGCAGGTCCATCAACTGGTGCAGTGCTACAGCAAACTGTGCATTTGAATTAAATGTTGCGTTTGAAAGCAGATCAAAGCTTTAATTTATGTATTAAGTTTGGTCCAAGCGTGAGCTTAGTCTGCAAAATGACATCACTCTCGCCAGTTGTAGAAGCGACGTTAAAAAAGGCGACAAGTGTGACTCTGCTCATTGGCATTTTTACAGATCAATCTAATAATTGACTTCTTGTGAACAAATGGCATTAAGTTTGTGGTTAGACATACTTATTAAATCAGGTAGCATAGCTGGAGAAGTGAAAGCTTTCAGGTACTTGAGCCTGAAATAAAGCAGGAAACAAGTTGAGAGCAATTGCTGCAGGTTTGACTAGGTGTCCTAGCAAGCTAGAGCTTCTGAAAGGAAAGGCATCTGGGGCCTTTGGAGGAGGGAGGGGAGCGTGGTTGCTCCCTTAGAGGAAGGGACGGCCGCTTGGGGTGCTGTCTGTGGAACGTGCGAAACGGGGTTTCATTCGCTCGAACCTCCCTGCGCCCGTGCTTCGCAGCATATAAAACCAGGTGTGCTCTTGCTTCGGGAGAGTCAGCTGTCTGTTACTTTTGCAGCTTGCAAAAAATAATTTGAAGGTGTGAAGCTTGTGGTAACTCCTCATTTATGTGCAAAGCTCCCCTGTGTTTCTTGTGCTTACTTATCCTTTATGCTGTCTAGTCCAGGCTCCCAGAAGCTGATGCCTCTGTATTGCCCTCGGTTTAACAGCTGCTGTTTTCCTTCCTGCCCTTTCTAGGGTACGTAGATCTGTGTCCAAGCACACTTCAGTTTCGTTGCAAATTCTTTGTACATCTTTATTTTAGATACAGTTGCGTAATAGCCTGTAAATTAAGTTGAGCTGCCTTCCCTTGGCAGCACTGGCTAACTTAGCGATTTTTTAAAAAGCTATGAACTGAGAGGCCATCTCCCTCTAAAATTGAACTGTTCTGCAGCTGCTCTATAAAATGAGGAAATTGTTCTTCTTACCATAGCTGTTACCCCAGGGCAGTGTTGTTCCCTGCCCTGCTGCAGGCCACGGGCATCCTGCCCTTTAGATCTGCAGTGTTGTGCTGGCGAGTCTCGTGATAATTCAGGGGCTTGCTTTTTGTGCAGAGATGGTGATGGAAAGAAAAACGTGTTTTGCGCGGGTATTCTAGTGTTTCTCCTTGTTCATGAGCACTCTCCTTCCTTCCTGACCATTCAAGCTCTCTGAACGGTTATGCAGTCTTTGCTTTCTCTTCCCACACCTTTACCTTTAAGAGTGGTTTTCCTCGGAAAGTTGTCTCCTGTTGGACTTTAGTCAGTCCGTGACCTTGTCTGGCCTGGATTAGAGTATCATGCTAGCACGTGGTAGGTATCACGCTACCACACAAGTTAGTTAACTAATAGATGATAGCTACTGTAAGTTTGTGTTGACAGCACCTGCTGTCTTCAGCATCTACTAAGCTGGTTAAGCTAAAGCTTAAAAAGAAATTAAAAGAAATAAAACACGTGCGTTGAGTTCTTGAAGTCCTTATTTCCAGGATGGTGGTTCTCTTGGTATCCTCTGCTTTTTACAGCCCTGTCTGGCCAGGGAGTTGTGCTTCCTTGACCAGCTTCAGCAACCTCCAGTCGTTTGAGAGTCCTCACCCCTGGGTGATTCATCAACTAGTGCAACCTGTTGCATAGGGAGTGCCTGATATCAAGGGGATGCAGAACAGTTAATGAGTAACTTCACACAAGTGTCTTGTTCAGTGGAAGGCTGCACTAAAAAGCCAGGAGGTCGCTCCAGTGTGTTTCAGAGGAGCCAGCTGACTTCCTGGGAGCACGCAGACTCGGTCAGCCTTTGCATACCTGAATTCCTCACCCTCTCTGCCCCCATCTGAGCCTCGCAATTGCTTCTCACCCCATTAACCACAGAAGTAAAATGAGCACAAGACATTAGTTGCTGGGGGAGGGAGGGATAAAAGTCACTTTTTTCCTCTCTCTCTCTCTCTCTCTCTCTTTTCTTTTCTTTTTTTTTAAACCCACATGCAGACTATCGGGTTGCCAGGTTGCTCTTGGGGTAGGACTTCTGAGTTAAAACAGTGCCTTGTTTCCCTAATAACTGGGAGTAGGAAGATTCCAGAGGGCAAAGTTGGGCTATTAAAGAGGGACCTTTTTATAGAAGGAAATGTGTGTGCAAGATAACATAATTATGTGTACAAATTACAAAAATGTGTGTACAAGATAACATCACAGGTGAGAAAAGAAAGACACTTCTGGTAGAGGTGCAGAGAGCTCTGTGTGGGGTGTGTGTGTGTATATATATGTGTATATACATACATACATACATATATATATATATATATATATATATGTAAAAGCAAACTATTTGATGCTGTGAGTATAGGAGAGCACAGCTGATATGTCAGCAGGCCAGCTAGCTAAAACCTCCAAAAGTGATTGATCTGACACCTCTATCTTAGTTTTCATGGTTGTGTTACCTTTCTAGAGTGCTCATTGGCATCCTAGCTTGTTAGTCCAAATGCCATTGATGGCAGCTGACGCCTGTCAGCGAAGACTGCTTGTACTTGGAAACTCGTTTTGTGGGGCTCTCCTGTACTTGGCAGAGCCTCACTTGTTCTGTGATGCCAGTGAGGTTTGGGAGGTAGAACCTATTCTAAACGTCCCAGTGATCAGGTGGTAAAAGCCACCACGTTATGTGGTCAAAGTGAGTTGTAAAGCCCTGAAGAAGTGGTAAACTGACTGGGCAAGTATCTGGAGTGCCTATTTGAATGAATGCATGCCCCAGGGGATAGCTTCTCCATAGCTAGGCCCTATTTGTACAGAAGGAGAATAATTGAGGCTCTTCCCCTGCTGGGAGAGCTGAAAGATGCAAAAGATGTTCAGGGGCTGGTGTCCTTAATCCACCTCTCTGCTCAGTCAGCCAGGCTACCTCCAGAGATTCTGGGTCCTCTTGAATTTACAGCATGTACAAATGAACTGATGTCTTCCCCACCTAGTCTAGAGGTATTGCCAAATAAGGTCATCTGCCTGTGATAGGGATGTGTTTTACCCCAGTTCTCCTATTCCCAGGGAAAATCAGATGAGCTTTTATGCCCGCTCTCTTCCTCGCACAGTGGAGGAAAGAAGCAGAGCAGATAGTGTGTAAGCTTAGTGATAACTCACATCTGATGCTAACCTGTCTTTGATCTCTCTCCTTTCAGGATCCCTCAGTAACACAGCTGACAAATGCTAGCCAAGGTGGCTTGGATGAATTCAATCCCTTTTCTGAGAGCTCCCAGCTGGTACGTGTGGTACATGTTTGCAGTAGTTATCTCAGTGGTGGTTTTAGCAGTCCAGAAGGTCCCTTGGTAGGTGCAGTTTAAAAAAAAAAGAGGCACTCGCAGCTGATTTCCCCGTGGACAGTTGCTCATTGTGTGCATGGCAAGCTGCAAGCAAGAGACTCCTACACTGGAGCACTAATAAACTCCCGGCTGGAGTTTTCCAGTCATATGGAACGGTTTCTCTCAAACTCTCACTGATTGTACTGGCTCACAGTAAAGCCGTATGAAGTGTGAAGGAGAAGATCCTTTGTGGCAGGACACATCAATATTGATTTGGTCTCTGGGTTGGGAGCCGAACTGCTGCTCTGATATTACTGATGGATTGCTACAATAACTCTATTCCTTTTTCCTGGCTGATGTAATGCATGAGGCGGGAAAAGGAGAGCAGGAAACAGGGATACAACAATAGTTACAGTATAAACAATTGATCAAACCCCTTGTTGCTACTTCTTTGCTAATACCGGTAATCCTCAGGTGCCCTTTCCCCAAGGCGTTAAGGAACTCGCACGTTTCTGAAAACATAGAACTGCCTCCTGCTAGTTGGTCCCTGTGCTTCCAGCTTTAGCAGTACTAAAATCTGAACTGTTCTTTGCTGATAGAAACAATATGTAATGCTTTTCCCTTGTCGTTCTTGGTTTGTTTGCATCCAGACAAACGCAGCACGGACGACGCCTGCGACACAGCCCTCTGCCCCCTCACAACCTGCTGTTCTGCAGACGTCTGTGGAGCCCACTCCGCAGGTATGGCAAACCCCTTTGCTGCCTTCCCAAAGAGCTGGGCTGGAGATCATGGATGAGCTCTCGTGTGCTTTCCATAAAGGCATGTGGGAATAAAAGGGAGCAAGGGATTCTCTGGGGTTGGATGTGGGAAGTGGCAGGTGATCTCCTTGGCTTTCATTTTTATCTACCTTATGAAGTAGATCTCTGTGGGGAATACATAGATGTAATTCAATTTGCATCTTTTGCCTGTTCCTCTGGTGGCAGAACTAACTTAGCCTTGTATCCTACTTGTCCTGGCTTCCCTCTACTAACGCTGCCTAAAATGTAACCTGTTAATGCTTTTAGCATAGCTCCAGTGGCTGGTCAGACATGCTCGGTTCCAGGAGTGTAAATGCAGTCTAGTTATATGTTGCAGCTGCTGCTTAGACAGGCCAGCAAGTACCTGAGTCCCAGGATCGCCTCATCCAAAGACTGCTCAGAGAAACAGAGGCTGCTAGGAGAAAGCTTCAGTTCTCAGAATAGCAAGCAGGTAAAAGAGATCCAAGGGAAAGATATGTAGTGTAAAGAGAAGAGGAATAGCTGCCTTTTCTTTCCTTTGAACCTCCTCTCCTCACTGGGAAAAGAATTGCCTTGGTAAACTCAGGAGTCCTATTCGCTGCCCTGTGTTGTAAGGGGTCACTTGCCCTGTTTCCCTGAGGCCGCAGCCGACATGTGTCTGTTCTAGACTCTAGTTTCTGTCACCCGCTACTGTTCAGAGGCTGCAGGATTCAGCCAGTGTGTGAACAAACAGGGCAATTCTAGCGTGCCCTCTGTGATCTTACATGCCTTGCAACTCAGACAGGTGACTCTGAGGGGTGAAGATTTCAAATGAGAAATGAAACTTTTCACACCTGGCCCTCTGAATAGAGGAAACTCTTGACTCTGTGTTTCCCCACTCCACGTTGTAATCTTAAAACACTTGAGAGCTAAATCAGCAGCTCCAAATTCCTCCATCTAGTGTGGATCCCCAGCAGTATGAGCTGTTCTCCTTGCTAAGGAAAACAAGGTCCTGTCCTTGCCTCCTTTGGCCTCTGTGCTGGGGGAGAATAATGCTACTAGATATTTGTCAGCTGCACCGAGAGATGAAGGGATCTCCTTGGAAGCCACACAGTCTATGGGGGATGGAAGAAGGTAAAGGTGAATCCAAAACCTGAAGGACAAATGCTTTGTCAGAAATGAGGAAAGCTGAAGTTTGGACCAGTGAAAGGGAACAAAGGGATCCAGGATGTTAAGGCTAATCTAGAGGCACCTGCAAAACTTTGACAGGAGCCTACAGGTGTGATATCCTCTTCCAGGAATTAAGTGCCTTGAAGAGGAAGATGTGGGTGAGGTACTGGAAGGCACTTACAACAGTGAGGCTAACTAGGAGGTAGGAGACCCTGCAAGGGAGTATATGCTTCTGCTGAAAGGGAAGGGCATGGAGAATGGGCAGCAGACTAGATAACGTCTTGAGGACTCTTTGAGTCCTATCTTCCTGTGGGATAAGAAAGGAATGCCTGGAATTCTGCACTGATCTTAATTAAGTCTTGCAGCAGTTGAGGCAGAAAGCCTCAAGACAGATCAGCCACAAGCATTCAGCTTTCTAATTGTCTTCAGTCTTTGCTGTTGAATTGCCTCTGCCCACATTCCTGTTTGGCATCTAGTATGTTTACTGGTGGCTATCGCCACTGGCTTCATTAGGGAAGGACTTATCTCTTTCTCCCCCTGCTTTAGGCTGTGGCTGCAGCAGCACAGGCTGGGCTCCTTCAGCAGCAGGCAGAGTTAGAGAGGAAGGCAGCTGAGCTGGAGAAGAAGGAAAGGGAATTGCAAAGTAACGCAGCTGACTTTAATCGTAAGTAGTATTTCATGCCCTGTCTGCAATGTGTGATGCCCAGGGAAGCTTGGGTCGCTTAATTTGTCAGGACAACGGCTGGTAGGAGCGGATTTGATGAAGGCTCAGCCTGTTCAAATGAATGCTGTGTGTGTGTGTGTGTGTGTTTTGTCCCTGCATGCATCAGCTTTTTACAAGCCATATGTCTTTCCTCTAGCCCATCACACTTGTGGCAACCCTCTTGAGACTGTACCTGTGATCCTGTAACTTATTATGCGGCTACCTGTTGCTGGCGTGGGCAGGAAACAAGTTCAGAGTTGAGGTGATGAAGAGCAGCTCTGCTGGGTCTCTGCGACCTTGAGCATGCTCTCAGTGTCTGTGCGTTTTGCCAGGTTAGGGAGTTCAATCACGAATTTTGTATCCGTGCCTGATCTGTTGTGTGATGTTGCCATATTAAGGATTTTCACTGGGATGTGGGGTACTCTTGCGCACTTGCCTGTAGAAGGCTCTCTATGCCATCAGTACCTGATGCTTTTTGCCAGACTAGAAGCCTCTTATTTTTTATCATGGAAAATTGCAAGTGGCTAAAGGTTCTCTGTTCTGTGCCTGCCTTAGGCTGAGCTTGCTTTCGGAACATCCGAGCAAAACCAGGTATCTTCTGGGGCATGGATGGGAATCCCTGTACTGACCCTCTAGCAAAATTGAATTGATCGCGGTCTGGCTTCAGAGTATGAGGGCAATAGAGCTTTTACCAAACAGTCTCAAGGCTCTCTTAGCCAGGGCAAAACAGTGTGTTTTTCCTCTGCCCTTAGTTTCAAATGATTGAATGACTGAAGCTGAAATTTTCTGTAAATCTCCACCTGAGGCAAAGTTGGGGAGGAGGGAAAGGGCACCTTCTTACAGATCTGGCAATTAACGACTTCATTGAATTCTGGCATTTCTGAGCCTGAGCATGTGCCTTTGCCATATTGATTATAATTTCTTGTAACTTAGCCTCTGCATGAGTTGTTCTGTTCTCCTCCTCTGAGTGTCTGCTCAGAGCGCAGTGAGGCAATTGATCACCACGTGCAGCTTTTCCTCAGTTTTTTTCTCTCTTTGAGAGAAGAGGACAAAGAGACCCTACTAAAGCTGCTCTTTTTAGACGTGTATTGCTGCAGAGCTTGAAATGCGCTCTGGACTTGGTGATGTTTGTGATGGTCGTTTGGCCGTTGCAGGGAAATGCTGCCTCTCACAGAGGAAAACCCTCATAAACTAAGCTGACCTGTCTCACTGGTTCTAGCAGAGTTAAAACATCCCTCTGTGCTACCAACTCAAATCTAGTTACTTGCCAAGATCTTGGCCTCTTCCAAGGTTTTAATGTCAGTGTATGTGAACTGATACTTGTAAATTTTGGCACGCTAATGAATCTTTCAGCGGGAGAAGAGCAAATGAAGAGTTGCTCCTTTCTTCTTTTTGCAGCGAGACAAAACAATTGGCCACCTCTTCCCAGGAAGTGTCCAATCAAGCCCTGTTTCTATCAGGATTTCTCTGCAGACATCCCAGCTGACTACCAGCGAATATGCAAGATGCTATATTACTTGTGGATGTGTAAGTAGCAACTTATGACTGCAGCAGAAGTTTTTTCTAAGAAGTTTCTGTATCACATATTGAATTTTTCCCTAAGGTAAATTCTCTAGGTGTTGTCTGCATCTGCAGGAGTAAAATGATGCTTCTCTTACTTTTTTTTTTTTTTTTTTGAATGAAGACAACTGTACAGGACTCTAGTTTAAGTTTTTACTCTGGGAGTAGCTCATTCATGACAGAACTTTGATTGTCTTTTAAGAGAGACTTTACAATCTGAGACTCTGAAAGACAGCACACAGCAGAGCTTGGAGGTGCAAAATAGTCTCAACCCCCTGTCAATTTTGATGTGTTGCAAAGATTTAAGACTGGGGTGTAAGTAGCAGGATCCACTTCTCTTTCAAGTGAGGGAAGGAAATTAGATGGCCCAGAGGGTCCCTAGTATCTGTAGAGCTCCGTGTGTTTGGTGAGAAATTAGGGATGCTTGGGACATTTCTGTGAATTTTCCAATAATTTGCTAATATGTTTCTACTTTCTTCCATCCTGAACAGTGCACTCAGTTACCCTGCTCCTAAACCTACTTGCTTGCTTGGCCTGGTTCACAGTCCAGACAGAGAGAGGAGTAGACTTTGGTCTCTCAATCCTGTGGTTTATTTTATTCACCCCTTGTGCCTTCCTTTGTTGGTACCGGCCAATTTACAAGGCTTTCAGGCAAGTACTATTTTTTTCTGTAAGGGGGATATAGCTTTTAGTGGAAAGAGCTTTTGTTTTATCTGTTCCTACTGTATATTGCTTGAAGGTGTTTTTTTGGTGTGTGTGTGTGTGGTTTGTGTTTGTTTTTTTTTTTAAGCTCTTTGCATTGTTAAATAGATCAAAACCACTTGTTCCTAAACATTTAAAAGTATCTGATGGAACTTGGTTGTGGTGGTCCTTTTTCATCTTAGTATAGTAGCCTAGCCAGTCATAGGGTTCTACTTTTTATTCGTTTTAAGAAAACTATTTGGTACGTTAATATGCTGAGCATGCTATATGCATTAAGGAAGTTATGTTCACCCCCCTCTTGCACTGGAAAAGTGATGGGGTTGCATTATGCAGTGGACATGTTGCAAGTTGTGTTGCTGCGTGATTTCCTCCTGAAGTCGCCTCCCCTTAGCAGCTTTCCCCTGGCAGAACTGGTTCACTGAAATTGTTCCCCCTTAGAGAAGGGAATCTGTACAGGGATCATGTCCCTGGGTTTCACTTCTGCTGCCTTCTCTCCTGCAGGTCTGACAGCTCCTTCAGCTTCTTCATCTTCTTTTTCAT